ACTGTAAAATGCTTTATTTTAGCTGGAATTAATTTTCGCTGAAAAGACTTTTTGGGTATTTTGCATTGAATTTATTTTCATTTATTGAATTAATTTATTTTGACGAGTTGAATATAAAATATAGAAAAAAGGTATATTCGCTGGATTTTATTTTCAATGAATCATTCCTTCAGTGAAAATAGCGAAAATTAATTCCAAGGGAAAAAAAAAGTATTTTACAGTAGAATAGTGGTATATATTGTTACATTAAACCATGGTCATCTCTCACCCTAGGTGATAAAAGGGCGGAAAAAGAGCAGATACATCAAAACGAGAAATCACAGAATACCTCTACCTCACAAATCTTGCCATCCAGTAGAAAGAATATTCTAACGCAACAAGATAACCAATGCTCAACTCTGAATGCATGTAAGCCAATTGATAAAGATAACGTCCGTTCAAGATGTATCACACAAAAGACATTAGATGGTTCTCTGAGCAAGGATGCTGTCAGTAGAATACCTAGCATTACAGATGATTTGGATTCTAATGATGATCCCACCTCTGACGCGCAGTTAGTGGATGTCTTGGATTGTATTTCAGAAATGAATACATGTGTGTTGACAGGGACACTTGTGTCTGAGAATGTAATTGATTTATGTGAATCTTACGCAAGTTAAACAACTTGTGAATACTGATAGCAGTGACAGTGACGTTGTATCTAGTAGAACTCGGAAACGAGTCAAGAAAATCCTGGTTGACACTGACGATGAGGAGGAAAACGTCACACATGAGGAGAGGTAGGTTTCTTTAGTTCTGAAAACACTTGACATTGTTACAACACAACCCTGTCATGTAGTCCCAAACATGAATATGACTTTTGTGGCACAATTGTAAGTCAGCACTATCACTTGTAATTTGCATATAACAAAGTCAGGAGAGACAACATTGACATTCAAATCCAGAACTGTCACCTGGCACAAAAATAATTTAAAATGAAACATTCTAGTACATCTCCTTACAAGACTTTTAAAAGTGTAGTTGCGTGCATGCACAACCTGGTAGCACTTGCTAAGAGCTAAGAAAACTTGCTTGAACGCTTAGTGCAGACTATGTCTAGTACAAGCTATATGTAAATCTGAGACTCATTTTTAAGAATCTGTGTATGTGAATGGTTAGCTTAGACTAAGCAACCTCTGTAACCCAGGGTTCTGCCTAGTCCGAGTATGGTCCTGTAGGTTGGCCTCCTTCTGCTGATCATTCGGCCCCCACAGTCCTGAGAAGTCGCATAGACCGGGGATTCGACACCCAGCTACATATTTATGGCGGAGAGCCTTTCTGCAGTTTTCATGATTGTAACCTGCTAAAACATCTACATTGTATCGGCCTTTTTATGACCGAAAATTTAATCTACAGACTGAAACTCGCGAAAGCTAGTTTTATGCAACGAAACGACCTTTTGTTAAGAACAAGATGGCGGCGTATATTTTCTAGTGACTCTAGTGAGAAGGAGGCCAACCTACAGGACTGTACCCGCAACCATATCACTGTATTGTCCATTTAAAAAATTTATATTACCGTATGACAACTCATTTTGGTATGTCACTTCAAACATGTATTATAGTATTGGTACCAATTTATTGAATGCATTGAACAACCCATGATAACCATGAATAACGACTAATAGTTTATTAGCATATGCATATATTCTAATTATCATTACAATTAGCGTAATTAGTACATGTATATCAATCATTTTATTGTTTTCTTGAAAAATTAATCACGGTGCATGGAACTATATAAAAATCACACCTCCATTTATGGTGGTACATGTACCTGTAACAGGCAGCTTTAACCGTTCCAGGAAAAATCACTCTGGAATGTTTATTTAAAGTACAGTGTATATTATTGGCAGTTCATAAATTCACAAGAAAACTTGACTAATAACTAATAATTTGACAAACATAAGAACATGTGTACAATTAATGTTAGTCAGAGATGCTGACAACTTCTGATCAATTGCTTGTATGTATATCTGTTATTATTTATTAACAAGGCAGCTACTTTATGATTATTATAAAATATTAAAATACTATTAAAGAAGTAAATAAAAAGTAAAGAAAATTTAAAACAAAACAATTTGTAAGGGGGGAAAAATCATT